ACTTCTATTTGCTTCTTACTTTGAGCAGGCTCTGGTGTTTTTTATGTGGCCTCCATGGCCCCCTTTTATGTACAAAAGGTCATGAAATTGGAAACTGCAGGTAGTTTGCTGTATTCAGATTACATGAAAGTACTTCAAAAAGTTCATGGAAATATTTATATTGTCTTTTAATTCTATTTTTTCATGAACTTTTTGAAGTATTTTTGTATCTTTGAGACAAAGTGTCTTTGGAAATCCCCTTTCCCCACTGCTTTTGTCTGTACTTTGATTTTTGCCTGATAATTCCTTATTATCTTGTTAACATTTTTATTCTTTGAGAAGATTTAAAAATGTTTTCCAGACTTTTAAGTTATTTTTAATGAGAAGATTGGTCCAAATATCTAATTGGCCTATTATTAGAATAGTATGTAGTATTTTATTTTCTAAAATGTGATCAAACTATACTATTTTTCGGAAGCTTGCGTTTTGCTCTTATCAGTAAATCTTGGCAAGCCTTCCATTGTAGTTCTTTAGAGCAATGAGCCGGTTTTTTATGATTTGCAGAAATTAGCCAGTGAAGAATGGGGGGTGGGCATGAGGGTGGTATTGGGCAAGAGAGGGCATGTGGGTCCTGAAACTATAAGTAATTAAATCTGGCCAGAACATGGAATATGAACAGAATCGTGGGGGAAGATGGGGCTGAAATATTCATCAGGTGTTAGATAACAAAGTCAAAGAAGCAGTTTCTCTCACGTAGCACAACTCCATGGGAGCACTATACACATTGTAGTCTAAGTAAACTGTGCTCCCCAAAATTCTGTAATATGAAGCTTAGGAGGTTGACTTTTACTCATTAGTCTCAGAAGGGAGGGAGGGAATTAGTAGGAAGTGAATAAGAGATCTCATCACTAGAACAGAGATCACAGAGTCTTCAAGAAGACTATAAAAAATACTTCACCTGGGGTCCCCCATGGTCATAAATTCTCTGAGCTCACACAGACTAATTCATGGCCCTGGAGGTTGGTGACTTCTAAGTTTCATCCCAGGCTCTACCTTACCAGAACAGCAGTGCTAGGCTGATGATATCCCTTCTTCTCATCTGGAAGATAAGGGAAAAGGGAAATCGTTTCCTAAGAGTCCAAACGATTCTTATTTGATTCAACCTCCTATCCCCAGGAATGCTGGAATACTTATGAAACTCATACACCTGGAGAAACTGCCCCCTGACACCCAGCCCTCTGAAAACCTGTTGATAACCCAGCCTCCATTTACACCACCTGGCTCAATGGCCTGCCCCAGCATATCAAGAACATGGTCCTCAGTGAGGTCCCTAAGTGCAACATAGAGAAGCAGTTTTTAAAGGTCAGTAAAGATAGCTGAGGGGGGCCTCGAGTTCCTCAAAGTCTTCTGCACAACAGAAATTTCAGCTCTTATTAGCACCAGAAAAAAAATCCCAGGAGCACCAGGATAACCTGAAATCCTGGTAATGCAAACAACGATAGATTGCAGAATGCCCTTCCGTGGATAATACCAGGTGAACCGGTTTTCCGTGACAGAGAGTTAGCTTGGGGATCTGATTTTCTCAGTGACCCAGGGCTTTCAGGCAGCTTTCCAGAGAAGGTAGAATATATCTTTTTTTTTTTTTTTTTTTTGTATTTTTTGTAGTTAAGTTCAAGAACACTTTAACTTCTTTCCTTTCTCTCCTTGCAGGTTAAGGAGGGCACAAGCTTTGCATTCCTGGCCTTTATTGAAGCTATGTCATTTCTTCCTGGGTCTGTCTTCTGGTCTGTCCTCTTCTTCCTGCTGGTGCTGTCCCTGGGGCTGACCACCGTGGTAGGGATCATGCAGGGCATCATTACCTTACTTCAGTACACTTTCTTTTCCCTCAGTAAACATGCAAAGCTGCTCACAGGTACTCTGACCTATGGCCCTACTCCCAACAATGACCTTGACTCCACCGAGACTCTTATCCAGTCCTGGCCTATGCCCTCCACTTAGCCCTTGTCACCCAGCCAGACCTATGACCTTGATCCAGACCCAATGTTTCCTCCAGTGGGCCTCTCTATGTTCATGTTCCTGTGTGGCCTCTTCTTCACTCGACTTTCAAGCGTCAACTTCATCAGACTGCTGAGTGAATGCTGGACAATCTTTCCCCTAATCATCATCATCATATTTGAAAACATGGCTGTAGCCTATGTCTACGGGGCCAGGAGGTGATGTCCTAAGCCCATGTTTCCACAACACATGGGACTATAGGAATGTCAACCCCTTTCTTGTTGCCTCTACTCCCCCAACTAGGGTGACATAGGGACCCTTAATTTCAAGGCCTCTGTGAAATCTTTTTATTTATTCATTCATTTAACATATTTTTGAGTGCTTCATATGTGCCAGGCACTGTTTTAGTAACCAGGGTTACTGCATTGAATAAAAAAAGCATCCCTGTCCTCAGAGAGCTTACATTCTAGTGGTATAGATAGACAGTAACCAAATTAACAAATAAAAATTAACAGTAAAAATGTCAAGAATAGAAAGAAACCAAAGGGTAATAGAAGATGATCTATAGTGGGAGCGTGCCTGGGCACTAATTCAGATTAGACTGCAGGGAAGGGTTTTTTATTAAGGTGACATGTGAGCAGACTCATGAATGAAATGAGGGAGGGAGCCATGACAAGATTTTGAGAAAGAACGTTCCAAGAGGGGAAAGAGTAAGTACCAGGGCAGAGGAAGCATTATGCCTATTTTTGAGTAACAAGAAGGTCAGTGAGGCTGGAATAAAATATTGGGAGAAAAGGCCAGAGAGGTAATGGGGGCTGAATCATGTGAGCTATGATTGTAGGACTTAGTTTTTTATGCAGAATGAGAGATGAAGCATTGGAAGGTTTTGAGTAGGTGAGTGACATTATTAGATTTATTTTTAAAAAAGATATCTATGGGGGCCGGCCCGGTGGCGCACTGCTACAGTGCGCCGCTTGGGAGCGCAGCAGCACTCCCGCCGAGGGTTCGGATCCCACATACAGACCAGCAGCTCACTGGCTGAGCAAGGTGCGGTCGCAACACCGAGGGTTGCGATCCCGTTGCCGGTCCCGGTCCGGTACGGG